ATTAAGTGGGACTTAAGCAGCCAGAAGGCGGTGATATTGATGCCAGCCGTTGGGGATAACGAAACCATTTTTTCGGGCGGGGAATTTCAGCCATAGTCACGGTATGAAGATAGTAGATTTTCAAAATTTGGAGGTATTTCTTTGGCAATTTGCAGTTTGAAGTTGGATTAGATTGCCATGTACAAAAGCAACCATGTCATTAGTGTCCCCACAAGAAATTGACTTTCAGGGGGTCTCATACCAAGATTCACGACCTCGCCCCGAACACTATCGTCGCCTTGCAGGACCCGAACACTATGGCCAGCTCAATGCCAGATTTGGAATGTTAGAATACATGTCAAATAAAATGCAAGATAACAGCTAGAATATATATCATAATATGTGCCAGATAGAATGTCGGAATTTACTACGTCAGATAGAATGACCAAATATATGTCAGATAAAAAACCGGAGTACATATCAGGTGGCATGCCAGAATTTATGTTAGATAGATTGCGAAATTGTGGGGAGCATAGGAAAACCGGGATTGTAGCACCACCATTTACGTGGGTATCCAACAGTTGATAAACATATACATCCCCTGTGTTTGAAGGTTACATCATGTTAAAACACGATAATTTTTCATGTTGTTCTACGCGAAATCTGCCAGAATATCCAGTTGTAAGGTTGCGGAGGTGGCGATTCATTGGGCCGTGGACGTGGCGGACTACGAGTTGCAGATCAGTCGCAACGCCGTGGAGTGGACCTCCGTGATGCACGCCTCAGGGCTCGCTGGGCAGACGGTGCGGAGCAGCTTTCCGGCGACCACCGCGGACACGCAGTGGATTCGGGTGGTGACTCGGACATGAATTGGTGTGGGATGATTTCTGTAAATTTGTGGGATAAAAAGAGGATTATTGTTTCTTGATCAAACGATGGATGCACCATACATATGTATATATGTATATATGTATATATGTATATGTATATATGTATATATGTATATATGTATATATGTATATATGTATATATGTATATATGTATTTAAAAAATATTGTTATATTTTTATATGTAAAAAAATAAAAAGAAATAATAGTATCTCTGTCTCTCCTGTTCTCTGTCTCTCTGTCTCTCTGATCTCTTTCTCTGTGCTCTGTCCTCTCTGTCTCTCTCTCTCTGTCTCTCTCTCTGTCTCTCTCTGTCCTTTCTTCTCTGCTCTCTCTCTGTCTCTCCTCTGTCCTCTCTTCTCTCTGTCATCTCCCTGTATCTCCTGTCTCTCTGTCTCTCCCTGTCTCTCTGTCTCTCTGTCCTCTCGTCTCTCCTCTCGGTTCTCTCCCTGTCCTCCTCCTGTCATCTCATGTCTCTCTCTGTCTCTCTCTAGTCTCTCTGTCTCTCATGTCCCTCGCTGTCTCTCTGTCCCTCTTTCTACTCTGTCTCTCTTGATTCTCTCTGTGTCTTCTGCCCTCTGTCTTCTGTTCTCTGCTCTCTGTGTCACCTCTGTCTCTCTGTTCCCTCTGTCTCTCTGTCTCATCTGTCCCTACTGGCCCCTCTGTCTCTCTGTCTCTCTGTCTCCTCTGTCCTCTCTGTCTCCCCCCGTCTCTCTGTCTCTCTGTCTCTCTTCTCTCTTCTCTATTCTCTCTCTCTGTCTCTCTCTCTGCTTCCCTCTCTCTGTCTCTTCTCTGTCTCTCTCTCTGTCTCGGTCTCCTCTCTACATGTCCTCTCTCTGTCGCTCCTGCGCTGCCTGTTTCGCCTCCTCGGGTCAATCGTTTTAAAACATAAACAGTTTGAATTTTGGCAAACATCCAGATGCAATTGTCTTGATGTCAGAAGGGACTTAGCGCTCAAACCTCTTTGTCCTTGTGCCAGGGGGGTGCCAAACAGTCAGGTTTGCCGATCCTTTGATTCCACTTGTGCCATCAAAGAGCTCTACGTCTACGACGTGGCTGGGCCCGAAACTCCAGCAACCACAGCGCCAGCAAGCACGGCAGCACCGGCAAGTACCGCAGCGCCAGCAAGTACGGCAGCACCAGTTGCTTGTTTCAGTGCGTCGTCAATGGGTATGGGTCATTGGGGTACCTTTAAAGACCGAATGGTTGCTGGTCATTTTAGACATCCTATATTATATCATATCCAGATCACAGTGGAGAAGCCCCACGGTTGGGACCCAAGCTTTCACACTTCCAAAGCTTTTGTGACAGCAGGCTGAGAATCTGGCTTTGAGCAAACCGGTTCTCGCTTCTTCCTCCGTCTTGCCAGATGAATATGCAGCCAGAGCAGTGGATGGGCTCGCCAGCACACAGTGGCGTTCCGCTGCTGGTGATCAATGGATTTGGGTGGATTTGTTGAGCAGCTACACCCTGAGCCATGTGGTTTGCCCTTACTTCAAACCTTTTGCTGGTTCTTTTTACTATGAAAGACGAAAGACCATGATTTTAGCATGGTCGACCTTTGAAATCAGATGAGGTTGGAATGAAATATTTGTAGATGATGGAATCTAGGCCCAGGGATGACAGAACACTCTATTGTTTTTGTAGTCCACACAAGACATTAACTTCTCAGCGTCGCCCCTTCTTAGAAAAGATGCAGGTACCCACATATCCCATCATTCATATCGCCAACCAGCCCCTTCCATCATTGTTTGGAAGATTTTAAACAGGTTTTCGATCGCCAACTCGCCAAAAGGCCAAACCATTCCTCTCTGTTTGTAACATACCTCCTTTTGTTTGGGGAAAAACATCATCATATCTCCATTAATTGTTTGCTCCAGGTGGTGGTGCAGTGGGGTGACCAGTTGCCCAGCAGCTTCAACGTGGAGATCAGCTCGAACCCAGCCGTCAGCTGGGACTCCGTAGTGCAGCAGCCAGCTGCAGCTGGTGCGCAGCAAGTGGACCTGGGATCTACGACGCAATGGCTGAGGATCTACTGCAATGGTGGCTGTAGCATTCAAGAATTGCAGGTGGGGTTGGAGACAGCCAGATTTTCTTGTGGCAAAATCCACAATTTTCTGTGTTTTTGTGGAGTTGAGATCGACAATTGGAGAAAAGATATGTTAACAATGCTGGGGGATCTCCAAATTGATGCCCCGCAAAGGACTGGTTCTGGTTATTTGTTGTGTGTTTGACCAACAACTAGTGATCCTATATCACATGTTGTCGGGTTCCCCCATTGTTGCTTAAACAGTCTGATCTTTGGGCTAGCTATGCAGTTTTCAGCCATACCTACTAACCCACCACAGAGCATGGACGTTTATTGGCCAATAGCGACTTTATATGATTCTTTGCATGGATTTCTGGATGCATTGGCCATTACAAGCAATTGATGATACACTAAATAGTTGCACCTGCATGAACATGGATAACATTAAGAAATCGTCCAGTGTATTAAGTTTATACACCAGAACTATCAAGATATCTTTCAGTTCGAAGACCTGTTGCCTTCTGGTAATCAAACACTTGAAACCACTTAGTTTGATGATGTTCCCATGTAGTGATGCCTGCGATTTCCCGGCCCTGTCTTCTTTAGACAGCTGCAGGTCTATGGTACACCGGCCAACGGCCGGTTGCTGCAGGCCCAGGACGTGAATGCGGATCCGATTCTGCTGTAAGTGGCTCGCCACAGCGCAGGGATGTACCCGGGAAACTGGGCATTTCATTTGTGGGGGATAATAGCAGGATTTCATGTGATTTAACCATCTTACATGGGCAATTTATTTACACACTATAATCATTATTATGTAATTAACCATACCAGTAGTACCGCACAAGGCGGTGGCGGAAGTTTCAAAAATAGGAAACCTATAGGAGAGGTTGGTCACGGCAGAGCGAATCCACTGATGGACCGACAGGTGGTTGGAGTTGTGTTTTTTGGAATGGTTGCAATGGTTGCAGTGGCCACCTTACCAAAATTGCTGGATGTAGTGTGGTGTAGTGCAGTTGTAGTTGCAGTTGCAGTTGTAGCTGTAGTTGTAGTGTAGTGTAGTGGAGTTGTAGTTGTAATGTAGTGTAATCAGTGTAGTTGCAAGTGCAGTTGCAGTTGTAGTCCTGATGTGGTGTAATTAGTGTAGTGTAGTGCAGTGCAATGTCGTGTAGTGTTGTGTGGTGTAGTGTGGTACAGTGTAGTCCAATGTAGTGTAGTGTAAGGTAGTGTAGTTGTAGTTGTAGTGTAGTGCAGTGTAATTAGTGTAGTGTAGTGTAGTGTAAGCTGTAATGTAGTGGTAGTTGGAGTTGTAGTTGCAGCTGCAGTTGTAGTTGTAGTGTAATGCAATGTAATCAGTCTAGCGTAGCGTTGTGTCATGTAGTGTGGTTGTAGTTGTAGTCGTATTTGTAGTTGGAGTGTACTGCAGTGTTAGTGCAGTGTAGTGTAGTTGTAATCGTAGTAGTAGTAGTAGTAGTTGTTGTTGTTGTTGTTGTTGTGGTGATAGTAGTAGTTGTTGTAGCAGTTGCAGTGTAATTGGTGTAGTGTAATGTAATTAGGTGTAACTAGTGTAGTGTAGTGTAGTGTAGTGTAGTGTAGCATAGTATATTTGCGTTTGTAGTTTTAGCAGTAGTGTAGTGTAGTGTAGTGGTAGTTGTAGTTGCAATTGTCTATGTATCTATCTATCCATCCATCTATCTATCTACCTATCTATCTATCTATCCATCCATCCATCCATCCATCTGTTTGTCTGCCTGCCTGTTTGTCTGTCTATCTGTAAGCTTGAAAACGCAGCAATTCTGAGAGACTTCCTCTATTTTTGAACTTGACAACATCAAAACCGAGACAATTCTGCGAGGCTTCCTCAATTTTCGAAGTTGACAACATCAAAAACAATTGTGCGAGACTTCCTTCAGAAGAGTTGCGTGCAGCGCTGATGGCCTCGTACCAATGCGTTTTGCGATTTGTTCAGTCCATTTGTCTAAACTACTGCAAAATGAGGCCAGGTCATACCAAGTGCTGCACCTGTCACGCAAAATCATCTCAGCAAACCTGAAGATCTGATGCTCCAAAATGCAACCCCTCTCAGGAAATCAGCGCCTGGACCTCCTAACAGCTCTGATGAACATGTCTCTTGTACTGCGCCTGCCACGGAAAATGCATCTTTGCAGATCCTCTTCAAATGTCCCACGCCTGCCATCTTTTTTGGAAATGTTACAAAACCTTCACGTTTCGCTCACTTTTGACAAGGTGCACAATCCCTTGCGCCTGCCACGCGAAACGACATCTGAACCTCCGAAAAGTGGCCTGAACCCCTGGTGTTTTTAACATTTTGACTTCGAAATGTGCTTCGCGCCACAACGCGCCCCAACGGCGCCCACTTTTTCGCCATCTCAACTTCCAAAAGTGGTCCGAGAATGGTGTGCTTTGTGCATTTTGACTTGGAAATGTGCTTCGCGCCACAACGGCGTGCACTTTTTCGACATCTCAACTTCCAAAAGTGGTCCGAGCATGGTGTGTTTTGTACATTTTGACTTCGAAATGTGCTTCGCGCCACAACGGCGTGCTATTCTTTTATCTCTCATCTGGCCAGATGGCTCCGCACCCGCCGCTTTAGCGAGCCTACTTTTCGACCGTCCGGAGCCACAAATCATTGGAAAAACCGTGTTTCGCGACTTTCCTACCTTTTCGCACACCTGGATCTTCTTTCTTCTGAGACTTTCTCTTTTTGTGATCTTCTTTCTTCTTCTCTTCTCTACTCTGACTCTTCCCACCTTTGCTTTTCATCTGTCCATATTGTCGGAAGTTTGACTTCTAAACTTCCTTCGGCCAACTCCAAGACAACCTCGGCGGAAATTTTGTGGGTGTAGAAGTCAACACCTAACTCCAAAACTCGCTTGAGGGAACCTCATATTCCCGAATATGCTAGTTTAGTTGGGCCAACATGAGCCTAAGATAGACCCCAACCTGGCCCCCAAATGGCCCGACATGAGCTCAACAAAGCCTCCAAACAGCTCAGCGTAAGGTCAACACAGCTCCAAAATGTGCCCCAACAAACAAGACCTATTTCCAAGACTTCTTGGAAGGCAACCCCAAGCAGGCATATTTCCGAATATCCTAGTTTATTCTCGCAACATCAGCGTGCCATAGCCTTCAAATGGCCATCGCAGGCCCAACATAGCTCGCAAATGGCCCGACATGTTTCCCTTTGCTCTTCCAATTTTCTTTTTTTCCTCTAGGGTTTTGAATCCTTACTTGATGTTCTTGTTTGCTGTGTTGACTTTAAATTCATTGCTTCAACTCGGTGTTTGTCATACCTACTATATTTGATATATTATCGCATTGCATTTGAACAAAAACACAGCTACAAAACATAGCTTCTAGTGCCAATGGTTGTCGTTCATGTTTTCAACTCATTGATCGGTGGATAGCAAGATATCAGAAAAAAATCAAAAAGACGTGTGCTATGCCTATGATACACAAACGCCTCTTGCCGGACGGTGGACAGGAACCGCCCAGCAGTGCAGGGAAAAACGATGCATCTTTCCCCCAATTTTTTGGTTCATTTTTCCGGTTTGCTACATTTGTTCCCCTTGTTGCCAAACCCAGATTGGAGGTCACCTGGACCGTCTCGGGTTTGCCATTAAATCTTCAAGGGGTTTATCCCTATCACTACACCGCCGAAGGCGCAAATAAGCACTTCAATCTCCTTTTCGGACTCCAGTGTTCAAGACAAATTCCGCAATCAACTGTTCATAACCATTATTATTTATTTCTGATTGGCAGCTAGTATCATCACCCTAGTAACAGCAACAATCAGCACTGGTTGAGGAGACAACTATTTGTCAGATCTACCTTGCTGTAAGGAGCAACCTTACTCATGTTCATTGCTAAGATTCCGAGAAAGAGAGGGAGAGAGAGAGAGAGACAGAGAGAGAGCCACGTAAATTGTTACATCCTTATTTTGTGGCTAGGTTTTAATTCCATTGGCCAAAGTGCTGTTGCTCTTTTCCTCGTTTCCCCATTTGATTGCTTTAGTTCCTATCTTTCCTTCTAAACTCCTAGTTTTTAGTGAGGATGACATAAGACCAGTCCAAAGGATGACACATTCACAGGAAAGGCCTATATTCTAAGATATTTGATGATTAAACCGTATTACACCCATGACTTAACGAAGCATGCGACCCAATGAACCTTCCAACAAGTAGATTTTCTGCATGGGACCTCTCTTGTCAGGTTCGGCTGAGATATCGCTTCCGATGCCGAGATGTTCAACAAGAAGGACACGAGGAATGCGGTACCGGTTCAGGACTTGTGAGTCAAACATGGGGGCCTTCCCACTTCCTCAAAAAATCTGAGGAATATCGTTTTTTTTGGAGGGTGCCCAATGTTTGATGCCAAGATTGGATGCATTTCCACTGCACGCTTCTTTCTGATTTGGGCTTCACGGGTTTCCACGTTGAAGCATCACTTCGGACCATTTTTGCGCGGTTGGGTCTGATCCTACCGTGACGTTTCTGTAGAGTCTAATTTTGGGATCCCGTGGAGAATGAAGTCCATGCCACGGGTTTCCGGTGCTGGCTGGTTCAAGGGCTCAACATCCAAATTGGCAATAGGTTGTGATATCATTAGTGCTGTTGGGATTGTCATCTTTGAATTTGAGCTTTTGATCCATGCCGTCACGTTCTATGGCCTTGCCTCTCCGTTGTTCGGCTTCACAGCTTGAGCAGGTCTGAAGAGACCAGAACTTGGCTTGGCAATGTGTACAGGTCTCTGACGGTCTCTGCACTGACTCCGACAGGTGTTGAAGTAGTGCAGAAGTTTCAACGGTGCGTGCCAGAGAGAGCACATTCCATTGCAGAAACTGCGTTTCTCCGTCAGACATGACATCCTGCTTCGCATTGTATTTTTTTGGCGTTTGGTGAGATATCGGAGATGATCTTCATCCATGAGCTGCGAATCCGGTTCTCAATCAACCACTACAATCGATATAATCGTAAAAGTCGCTTTTCTACTGTTTCGTTGTGCTTCGTCTACTATTTCTTATCGGTCATCTACTTTAATAATAAATGGGCGCGTCTGAAAATAAGTATGCCCCAAATGGCAAGGTAATGGGGGCCGTGATGCTTATCCGTTGATTTCCGATGTCCTATACTCAAACAATCTGAAAAGTGTTGTTTGTCTTCTCAATGATAATACAGTTTGACTGCTGTAATCTGCGATGACAAGAAGCTAACCACTTCTCTTGTCATTTCAGTGGTTGGCAATTCGAAGGCCACAGATGCCAATCCAGTCAGTCCTCTGCAAGTATCTGCAGGTTGATCACTTTAGGTGCCAAACCATACAAGCCTGCCTCTTATTCTGGCAACGTTTCTAAGAACGCAGGAACATGTTGTTTGCCATACATACCTTTTTGCGCAAGTGCGGACTACCCTGTTTTGTGCAAGATGGTCACTGTGTATCAGATGTGTACAGGGTCCACCCCATTTTGTACCGTCTTTTGATCCAAGTAAACCATTCGGTCGCTCTTCCAGGAGGAGGAGGCCGTCTGACTGGAGTGACTGGGGGTTGAACTCCGATAGGGCAGTTTCAATGTCTTTTGATAAAGGCCAATAATCGGGGATCCGTCTATTTGGGAAACCCGTGGCACCTGGCAGGCTGCCCCACTTGGAATTGTGATTTGTGGGCGATTCTAGCATCCAAGCCCGTCATAGCAATGCGCAATATCCATTGGGGATGAAACCATTGTCATGGATGAGTGCAACTGTTTCTTTTTTGTAATTATCCCAGCGCTTTCTATGCTCCATTTGAACCACCTATGGATGAAGGGTTCCACTGATCTGATTCCACCACGGCTGTTTGCGTAAGTTTGAAGTTTTGCGTGTTCCCCATCTTAAATCGGTTCAAAGCCAGATTGCCTGTTGACGCGTCAGGTGAAGCACGGGGTACCCCCCTAATGTGTGGGGTACCCCGGGATGTGGTTGAATTCTTGAAGACCCAAGAGAACATCCCTGGCATTGAAGACTTCACCGCCGTGGCCTCAGGGGAAATGATGGGTTGATTTCGAAGGAATATCGCAAGGAAACCATGGCTCGTATCCACCAAATTTAGGGGTGTCCACTGGATTTCCCATCATCCAAATTTTGGAACATCCCAAAAAGGAACCTAAAATGCTCGAGTTTCCATTGTGTAAAAAAAACATGGTGCACATGTGCAAATGAGACGTGGAGAAACGTGGTGAAATCTGTGAAAAGAGAACATATGAATCTGGCAAGAAGGATGAACAATTGCAAAAACCACAAATGTAGAAGCATGATGAGCAGGCTTCAAAAGATGAAAAAAGAAACAAGTCAAAACTAAAATTCCGGCAAGTAGAGTTCCACTTTTTCTTTGGAGCAGATGAAAAACCAACACATCACTAGCTGCCACCAGCCCAGGAGCCAATTGAACCCGGCTGGCAACTCAAGCTGGACAGCGACACGTGGCAGAAGGTGATCGGCCAAGATGTCCGGGGCCCGGCTGAAGAATAAAATAACTGAAACTTCATTTTGGGATGAGCCGAAAGAGACGTGACGATACATCATGATACATCCCAGCAAGCGTCGATCCACTTTGATTTGTGTTGCTTTGCGCTGGCCTGAAATCGATCTCAAGGACCAGTGCGTGTACCCATGGCAGGCGAGATGGGACCTGTTTGTATACATTTGGACCTTGCCATGGATTAAGGCATTTTGGGGTTTGGATTAAGGCTATGAAAACTTCAAACTCTTTGTGTTCAGCCCACAGCCAAAAACTTCCAGGAACTACAGCGTGACGACTACGTCAGATCCTTGGGAGCTGGCTGTGGACCCTGATGCATCTACCAACTGGCAGACGGGTATCGGTGTAACTCATTCATGATGTGGATAACTAAAATTAGGAGGCTTAGCACCATTGCTATGCACATCATCTTTCCCGGCGATGGGACTTGCTTATGTTGGTGCCGGTGCCATATGGTGCCATGGGAATTTGTTGACCTGCCGTTTGCTGTGCCAACCGTGCTGCTGTGGAACCAAAGGTCTTGTTGCCTTGTTTGGGAATGATTTTCAGTTTCAAGCTGGGAAGACTGGACCTTAAAGAACATAGCAATGGCCGAAATAGACATGGATGATTATCTTTGTTTGGTGGCTATAACTCCCAGTGGGTATCTGCCAAGAACTGGATGGGTAAATTTTCTAGGTACAAACCAGCCAATATTGTAATTTAATCCAATTTTTCAAGTGGAGTCCCTCCCATTTTGTGGGACATTTAGTTGCATGTTAATTGACTCTGGAATGTCTGTGGGAGTTTCGCCGCTGGTCCAGCGACCCCAATTTGCAGGTTTGTTGCAACTTCACAAGATCTGGACAAAAATCACTACGCTATATCAGCTTTCATGTTTGTAAGAAACTGCGGATAGTTGTGGGGCAACTGGTAATCCGAATTTGTTCATCAATTTTTACACAATTTCCTTGATTTCCGAAGCGTAAACCACAGCCAGAATGAACAGCTGTTCGACATGACACCCGCTTACTGGACTCAATGCCAGATCTACTGACCACGTCTTGGATAAGCGTATGATACCCACTTTGGGAGGAACGAAGAAACCACTCAAAATCGCAGGGTAGATTGTCCACCAACAAATTCTTTTTGCTCATGGTATCCCCTGACTTAGAGTGATCATAAGACTCGACCAAACGATCCCTGAGAAACCTTGCATCATACTAGTAAATAAGCTGGTTGATGCTTCCTTTTTAGCCCCAACCATAGTCCGAGGCCGCAATGGGCAAGTTCAGCCAGGCAAGGAAGCGCGCCGCTGTAAAGATCCTCGGGTCAAATCTTTTGACGACTGACTTGGGTGTATGCGGGCATGTTGACAACATATATACTGTATACAGGTATACATATGCAAATACATATGTATGTATGTAATGGAATGTAATGTATTGTAATGTAATGTCGGTAATGTACTGTACTGTACTGTAATGCAATGCAATGTAATGTAATGTCATGTAATGTAATGTAATGCATGCATGCATGCATGCATGTGTGGATGGATGGATTGATGGATGCATGCATGCATGCATGCATGCATGTATGTGTACGTAGTACGTGTCTATACGTTGGGACTAATGGTACTGATGATATTGTAGAGCTTCGCACACCGGCGATGCCTGTAGGGGTCGGGGGAGGGAAAGAGAGAGGGGGATTTCATCTGAACTTGCGGACATGACATGCTGCGAGCTGCATCTTCGTTGTCGTCGTTGTTGTTGTTGCTTCTGGTCCTCCTTCTCGTTCTCGTTCTTGTTCTTGTTCGTGTTGTCGTTGTCGTTGTCCTTGTTGTCGTCCTTGTCGTCGTTGTCGTCGTCGTCGTCGTTGGCCTTGTTGTCGTCGTCTTGGTCGTCGTCAGCGTCGTCGTCGTCGTCGTCGTTGTTGTTATTGTTGTTATAGCTGTTGCTGCTTGGTCCTGTGGTCGTTGTCGTTGTTATCTTTGTAGTTGGTACTTTTTTGCAAACCCCTCAAAGTCGTCAAATCGACGGTTTTTGCAAACCCCAAAAAGCGTCAAATAGGCGGTGTTTTCGCGATTTTCCACATTCTCGGAACAAAAAAACACCGTAAATACCGATGTTTTTGGCTCCGCGCCAACGCAAAACCACGGTATTTACGAGGTTTTGAGCCTCTGCGAGCAAAAATCACAGTATTTACAGTGTTTTGTGGCCCGGGCCTAGCAAAAACACTGGTATTTACGCAGTTTCCTGCATGTTGTCAGAAGCTTTTTTTGGATGCCAAAGGCACAAAAACATTGTAAATTACACGATTTTTACGCGTGGACAGAACCAAAAAATTATGAACAATTGACCAAAAACCGACCAAAAAACGCCCAACAAGGACCTCCAAAACGCATCTGCAAATTTTACCCTCTTTTCTCCCACCCCGAACCCCCAAAAACGTGAAAACCCCAGCAGGCTGAAGGATTTTAGGGGAGGGTCGGCGGCACCGGCGCGCCCCCGGGTAGCTAAAGCTATGCTTAGCAACCACCACCGGACGGCATCGCCGGATTTATAAATGGGCTAACGCCCAGGTGCCGCCGACCCCCTTTCAAGGGCGGAGCGGCGGGGAACGGTCAAAACGGCCCACACATGGCAGTTTCGAAGCCCAATAGAAACAGCTTGTGGGGCCTAGGGATGTACCATGGCAAAGCAAGTGGGACGCCTGTGAAAGCTGGTGCGGAGGGTTGTGAGGTTCTGAGGCCTTCGAAAGCTGCTGCGGAGGTTTTGAGGGTTTTAAGGCCTGCCCAAAACGTGCCAGGTAGCAGTTTCGAAGTCAATAGAAACAGCTTGTGGGGCCTAGGGAGGTACCATGGCCGAAAGCTGCTGCGGAGGGTTGTGAGGTTCTGAGGCCTTCGAAAGCTGCTGCGGAGGTTTTGAGGGTTTCAAGGCCCATGTTGACCCATCTGGAGCCACAAGCTCCGAAAAATGGGAAAAAATGGGAAGAGCACAAAACACCGTAAAACGCGGTGGTTTTTGGCGGGGGGGAGTGGGTCGGCGGCAGGGGGCGCGGCCCCTCTCTCCTACGGAGAGGAGAGAAAC